TAGTTATAATATAAATATAATATAAATATAATAAAATAGTTATAAATAATGTATTTATAATGTATATCAATAGTATTGTATAAATTTGTTTTATACTTTGGAGCAAATATAATTTTTAGATGTTAGTATACGTACCAAAATATTTTTTTAGTTATATTATTATAATACTGTTTATTATAAATTTGCTATTAAATTATTAGACAAAACAAACTATTTATTAAAAATTTATTATAGACCATATTTATGCATGACCGTTTACCGAATGACTTTTTCTGAGTGAACATTAACCAGAATGCAAATTCATTCAAGTTATATCACATTTTTTTGCTTCTAATTTTTTTAATAAAAAATAAGAAGTAATTTAAATTTCAATTGATTTAATATATCTAGAAACAGTCTTTGTCGAAATGGCATTAATATGTTTTCTCACATGTATTTATTAAGTGCAATGCAGTATATCGTGCAATGTGCGATCTTAAATGGTATAAATTGGACTCAAGGAAGGCAAGAAGTCTTATTTTGTTAATGATGCGAGCTAAATGTCCTTTTTCTATCACTGCAGGAAAGATTTTTCCATTAACAATGGCTACTTTTTGCAGTGTAAGATTATTTCAACTCCACTTATATTAACTTTGTTCTTTTGTTATGTAATGGTATTCGATTTACGTTTACATTTAATTTCTCTTTCTCTCTCTCTCTTCCCCTCTCCCCCACATACGCACATACACACACCCAATTTTATATTTAGTAACTCTTGATAAGTCAGTACGGATTACGAATTTTTTCCGTATATACAGAATGTATGTTGTAATTAATTAAGAATTAATTTTTTGTAAGCCTTTTAGTTTTGTCTATAAAAATTCAAAACTGTAAAATTGGCATTCTAATCACGAATTGTTCTTTTCCCTACTTTTAAAAATCGACGTTAGCAACTTCGTAAATGTCAGTAAATAAATAAATTATTATTTTCAGATATTAAAAACATCGATGAGCTATATATCATTTTTATTAACAAAACATGGCTAAACATGATATATTAATATTAAGTATTTATATAATCTTAAAAATATATAATTATATACTTACAAGTAGACACAATTTTTAGAAAGCATGGTATTGTTAGAGTTGTAGTAAAAATATAATTATGTTTTGTCTATTGGTTGTTGTTTATTATAAATTATATCATTGAGCAATTTATAACAAATTATATCACACAGACACACATTAAACAATTTATAATAAATATTTTTATTGCATAAAAATAGTTCGAAAGGTTAACTAAAGAAACGCGTATTTTTTTGCTTAAAATTTAAAATAAAAAATTTAAGAATTTTTTTATCCAAAATTGATATTTCTGCAAATTAAAAAAAGTTTTTAAACAATTATAATTAATTAATTAAAAATAAAATACATTTGATTTAATTCATATTTATCAGTCTTTGGCCGACTTTGGGATATAGATTTTACATGATTTGGGCTAAAAAATATGCATTCATAGCTATCGCGACAAAGTTGCAGGATTCTACGAACTATGACGTAGGATAATCAAAAATAACAATGGCAAGAGGATCAAGGAAAAACAAAAATGTATACAATAGTATACAATATAGTATAACAAAAGTATAATTCAAAATTTCTTTTTAATGTTTGTTTTTTCTTTGAATTACACTAGACTTGTTGATAAATAACGTTTTATTAAACAAAAGTATAATTCAAAATTTCTTTTTAATATTTGTTTTTTCTTTGAATTACACTAGACTTGTTGATAAATAACGTTTTATTAAATTTGACAAATTTAATCAAATCAATATAGCAAGATGAATGTACTTACGTTATTATAATTATGAGTTTTATCACTTACTTCAATTTTAAGAAAAAATTTTTTTGCTTTATCTTCGATGAGCAGAATTATGTTTTGTTGTTTTATTGCGAGAATATTGCTAGTTTTAAAAGATATTATATATTGTACAATTGCAGATTTAAGACATCACAATTTTATCATTGGAAATGTATGGACAATTTTCAAATATGAATTATAATTTATTTATAGTCTTAAAAAATATTGCATTCTATCACGCCTACTACAGCAAAAATAAAAGATATTTAAAAGATACATATTATATGTGTATTATACAATTTCACATCATCTTTTTTTTAATATAATTTTTGTTGGCTGGTATATAAAGCCTCATTAAAGATGCAATAGCGTTATTCCACGTTTTGCAATAAGTGTGAACATACTAGCTTGATCAAAAAGTTTCCGGAATTCATTCAGAAAATTCAAAATACAAGTTTATTCATCAAAAGTGATATTGTCCTCTTCAAAGTACTCTCCAGCGACTGCAACGCACTTATGCCAGCGCTTGAGCCAGCTCTCGAAACATTTCTGGAACTCTATTATTGGTATAGCCATCAGAGCCGTCTTCGATTTTTCCATTACCTCCTTTCGGCTGTTAAAACGCGTTCCCCGCAGGTTTTTTGACTCGATCGAACAGAAAAAAATCGCAGGGAGCCATATCGGATGAATTCGATGGCTGTTGGATGGTATTCGTTGTTGCAAACTCGTTGTTGCAAATTCAACTCCATTTTTAAAACTGTAAAAAATCGAAAACACGCGCAGAGGTAGATGTACTCAAGACGGCGTAATTTTTACAAATGTCAAGCTATGGCGATAAAATTTGATGGAAATGTCAATGATAGATGTGGCAACCTAGCCAAAAAAAAGAACTCAAATCAGCTGACTCAGAACATCACCTGGTGGTCTCTTCCGGAAACTTTTTGATCAAGCTGATAATACAGCAATATGAAACATAAAAAAAAGTTTTGAACGAATATTGATGAACTTATAGTACGATGCATCATTTTTATCTTTTATTTTATTAGATCAGACATAAACGATTTTAACTCGAACGTTTATAAAATTCTTTTTTATGATGTCAGTAGATGTAATTGGTAATAGCATTCTTAATATTTAATGCCGCGTTTGACGGTGCTCGAGTTCTTGCATTTGTATAGAGAGCATGCGTCAGGATCATTTAACATTATATCGTGGAAAGAACAAGACGTTCTGCAAGTTCAATTTTCAACATGGATATTACAAATTCTTCAGGATACAGAGGTATTAACTTTATTTTATCTTTTTATTAACCGTGCTCAATATATTTATTAAATTTATATAATTTTGGATTATAAATTCATTCTTGAGATATTGTATTATTATATTTATTATCATATTTATTGTTTATTATTGTTAAGTACGAATATTTAATAATTTAATCATTAAATATTATGTATGAACATTATATTTGCAACTGTATTATTCAAATCGCTCATATCGTAAATAAATTGATTAGATTTCATATGGGCAATTAGACTACATCATTTAGCATTAGAAATGGTAGACTTATGGCCTAAATCCAACAAATGTACTAAGAAAAGTTTGTGGGCAGAAATTTGGGTTGGCATAATTTTTATTTTATTAATATTTGTTTCTAATGTTCCGATGATATATTCAGTCATACAAGTTTGGGGTAATATGGTACTTGTGATAGACAATTTGCATACAACATTACCTCAAGTAATAGCATCATTAAAATACGTTATTATTCGGCGAAAACAAAAAGGTACATATAGAATTATATTAAATAAAATATTTAGCATTATATTCCATTATTTTATTAAATTATTTTATGACAAATAATTATAGTTTTGAATATATTGTAGCGTATGTAAGAAACAAAAAATTATACATATCGTTTACTCCTATATACAAACGTAGAAATAAATTATAAAATGTGCATGATTATCTTTTTGATGCTGTAGTTTACAAAAAACAACATATATATGTCTAAATGATTTGAAATTTTAGCGCTTTTATCAATGCTTATGTATCTATAATTATTTAAATATTTTCAAGTTCTCTTGTCAATTGTAAATATGATGGCAGAAGATTGGATGGCATTCAAGCTGGATAGAGAAAGAAATGTGATGATAAAACATGCAAGAACAGCGCGATTAATTATGATGATTGGATACGTCATCGTGTTTTTATCATTTTTAACAATAAACATTCTTTCTTTTTTTAATATACACGTAGTATACGCAACGAATTCCACATATCGACGCAAATCATTACCGCTGGAGACATATCACTTCTACGATACAGATAAGAGTCCACAATTTGAGTTTACATTTATCATTCAGGCAGTGACGACATTGTTGACAGCTACCATTTATATGTCTGTAGATATCTTTCTCATTGTAATGATTCTTCATATTTGTGGTCAGTTAGAAAACTTTAGATGTCGATTAATTAATTTGATCTCATGCAAAAATTTCAATAAAGTTTTGAATGATATCGTAGCAACTCATTTACATCTTATCAGGTATGAATTTTTGTTAAGAAAAACCTAACGAAAAAGTAACTTTGCAAATGATGTTTAATAAACAATAATCTATACATTTTATGTTTAGATATATGTGTTACGGAATTTACTTTATACGTGTATACATATATGTATATATACACACACACAGTGATTTCATTGATCTAATGTAATAACTCTTTCAAATAATTGTTATTTTTGTAGATTTGCCAATAATATCGAAAATACATATTCTTTAATGATGTTAGTATTGGTACTTCATTTTGGTATTGTATTTTGCCTAAGCGGATTTTTATTTACTATTGTAAGATTCATTAAAGAAGAATATAAATAGATATTTTACAGTATGTATACATTTCTTTCTTAATTTTTATGTTTTAGATATTGACTGACAGAAAAATAGATAAAGCTCTCATCATACAAGGATATTTCTCAATATTAATTTTTATTGTCTTATTGATGAATACTTTTCTTTTTTGTGGAGCAGGAGAACTAGTAACAAAGCAAGTAAGTTATATTTACAGCAAGTACTAATTAAAAATTTACTTTAATACATTTTTTCGCATGTTTACTATTGTTTCTAAGTGAACATTAATATTAATATAAATTCATTAGAGCCGTATAACATTTCTGTTTCTAATTTCTTTATTATAAAGAAATTAGAAACAGAAATGTCATACTATAAGAAATAAGAAGTTGTTTATACTTTTTAACTGTTATTTTCTCATTAAAATGACGTGAACATTAATCTGTTTTCTGATATATGTACTCATTAAGAGTAATGCAGTATATCATGCAATGTGCGATCTTGAATGGTACAAATTGGAATCAAAGAAGGCGAGAAATCTTATTTTGTTAATGATGCGAGCTAAATATCCTTTTTGTATCACTGCGGGAAAGATTTTTCCATTAACAATGGCTACTTTTTGCAGCGTAAGATTATTTTAACTTCTTTTGTATTAATTTTGTTCTCTTGCTATGTAATGGAATCCGATTTAATATGGAATACGATTTAATTTCATGTTAATTTCTCTCTCTCTCTCTCTCTCTCTCTCTCTCTCTCTTTCTCTCTCTGTCTCTCTATCTACATGTGCGCGCACACGCACACACAGACACACTCATACAGACACACACATGCGAGTACTTATAATTTTTTAAATATGTAAGATGACCAATTAACCCTCCCTCCCCGATCTTTTCTACATACGGATCAATATTGACAACGTATTCCTTAAATCTTAGTAAATAAAAGTAATAATTATTTTCAGATATTAAAATCATCAATGGGCTATATATCGTTTTTAATGACAAAACATGGCTAAAGATAATCTATTAATATTTAATAGTTACACAAACGTATAAGTAGATATGTTTGTATACACTTAGAAGTTATATGTTTAGAAATGAACACAGTTTTCTATCTAAAAAGTACTTTATATTATTAGTAAAAACAAAATTATATTTTGTGTATTATGTGTGGTTGTTGTTTATTATAAATTATATTATTTGTAATATAACAAATAATTTCATTGCACAAAAATAGTTCAAGAGAATTTAAGCCCTTATGCATTACGTTTAAGAAGAAACCTGTAGTACAAAAGTATAATACAAAATTTCCTCTTAATATTCGTTTTTTATTTAAATTTTTTTTAATAATAATGTTTTACAAATTTTTGGTCTTAATTGCGTTTTATCAATTAAATATGGCAAGATGAATGTACTTACGTTATTATATCTATATGTGTTTTATCACTTACTTTAATTTTTAGAAAAAAATTGTTCGGCTCTCTTATTTTCAATGAACAGAAACATTGGATAATATACATTTGTTATTTTATTGAATGAATATTGTCAGATCTTTGAAAACTACCATACCTTATAAAATTGCAATCTTAAACACTGAAATTTTATCACAGAAAATGCATGAGCAATTGTAAAGTACGAATTATAATCCACTTATAGTTGAGCTATAATATTACCTTTATTCACGTCTATTGCAACAAAAAATATTTTTAAAAGAGACATTTAAAAGATACGTATAATATGCAATTTCATCTTATTTCTTTCTATTTTCTTTTTTACTATTATTTTTGTGGCTAATATAAAAAGCTGCATTAAAGATGCAATGGCATTATATTTCGTTTTGCAATGAACGCATACATAATGGAGCAATATAAAGCAGACGAAAAACTTTTTAAGCGAGTTTGACGAACATATAATGCGATGCAATATTTTTATCTCTTATTTTATTAAACTAGATATAAACGATTTTTATAACTTGAACATTTATAAGGTCTTTCTTATGATATCAGAAACTGTAATTGGAGATAGCGTTCTTAATATTTAATGCAGCGTTTGTCAGAACTGTGGAGTTGCTGTATGGAAAATATGTACTAAAATCATTTTACATTATATCGTCGGAAGAAAGAGACATTTTTCATACTTTAATTTTCCATATGGATATTACAAAATCTTCAGGATACAGAGGTATATCATGTTACATATTTTCCGTTTATCATCCGTGTTTAATCTAATTTAATTAATATAATCCGATACATATATGCCGCACGTATCAAAAATTTAATTTATCAGTTTATTAAGCAAATACTAAAAATACACACTATAGCAATAAAAACTTTATTTATTTTCAATTAAATGTTGTAACAACAAGGATCAGAACGAATAAATCAATATAATATGGTGAATATCTTTTTTCGAACCAACACAAGTTCTTAGTATGTAATAATTTGTTATTTCTTAGAAAATTCAACGATAAACCGTTTCGATCTCGAATTTTTATCCCCTTCAGTATAGTATAAAATTATAAATTAAAAGTAATAAATTATAAAAATTTATTAGATTTCATGTGGGCAGTTAATCTACACCGTTTAGGTTTCAAAATCGTGGGCTTATGGCCTTCGAACAAATATACTAAGAAAAGTTTGTGGCCAGAAATTTGGGTTGGCATTGTTTTTATTTTAATGATATTTGTTTGTAATATTCCGATGATATGTGCGGTTATCGAAGTTTGGGGTAATTTTATATTTGTGATAGATAATTTACATACAACGTTGCCCCAGCTGATGATATCAATAAAATACATTATCATTCGACGGAAACAAACAGGTATGTCCATAATTATAAAACATTTAGCATTATATTCCATAGATTTGTTAAATCACGTTATGTTACAATTACAAACATACTGTAAATTACATTAGAAATCAAAAATTGTATTTATTCCTATATAGCAATTTATATGGAAATAAAATATAAAACGTGTATGATTCTCTCTTTACGAAAATTTGTAAATAATAGTATATTTAAATAATTCATTATTATTATTTTAATGTTTTTAATAATATTTAAATTTTATATGTATCCGAGATCAATCTCAGAAATATCTAATTGACTTCTCGATATGTCTCTGTCTTTGGGCATTTCCTCTCTCTCTCTCTCTCTCTCTCTCTCTCTCTCTCTCTCTCAACAGATTTTTCAATTTAGAAAATATCCAGAAGTCATACAGGGTTATATCTGAACATATAGATGTTGTCAAAGCTAAACAATCCCGTATTTAGTCCAAAAATCAGGCGAGATGAATGAGCAAGTATTTCGTGAAAACGCGACGCTCGGAGTTTGCGCGATGCTCACAATCTCACATAACTGCGTACCATTGCCAACTAAAGTTGTTGGGTCCGCGATTGATGTACTCCTCAAGGTACCCCTTAAATACTGAATCTGTTTTTAGAATAAAGATAGATAGATAGATAGATAGAGAGAGAGAGAGAGAGAGAGAGAGAGAGAGAGAGAGAATCCCAGAGACGAAGATATACACAGAGGTCGAATACTTTTAGGACAGATCTCGTATATAATTATATTTTTAAGTTCTCTTGTCAATTGTAAGTATGATGGCGGAAGATTGGATGACATTCAAGCTGGAAGGAGAAAGAGATGTGATGATAAAACGAGCACAAACAGCGCGATTACTTATGATGATTGGATATATTCTCGTGGTAATGTCGGTTCTCACACTCATCATTCTACCTTGTTATGGCATTCAAGTTATGTATGTAGCGAATATCACGGATGTACGCAAACTGTTACCGTTGAAGACGTATCATTTCTACAATACAGATGAAAGTCCGCAATTTGAATTGACATTTTTCATCCATACTTTGACGGCCTTATTAGGAGGTACCATTTATGTATGTGTAGATTTTTTTCTAGTACTAACGGTTCTTCACATTTGTGGCCAGTTAGAAAATTTTAGATGTCGATTAATTAATTTGATTTCATGCAAGAATTTCAATAAAGTTTTAAATAACATTGTGGCGACCCATTTACGTCTTATCAGGTATGAATTTTTATTGTCACCGTAGATAACATTTAACAAAATTGATTTGTAAAAATGATTGAAAATTAATGTGATAATCGTTTTAAATATTCTTATTTTTACAGATTTGCCGATAATATCGAAAATACATACTCTTTAATGATGTTGATATCAGTGTTACATTTTTGTATTGCATTTTGCTTAAGTGGATTTTTATTTACTATTGTAAGTTTTAGTAAAACAAACATAAAAAAATATATTAATGCATGCATTACATTTTTTATAATTTATAAAATTTCAGATACTTTCTGACAAAAAAATAAATAAAGCTGTTATCGCGCAAGGATATTACTCGATATTATTTCTTATTTTCTTATTGATGAATACTTTTCTCTATTGTGAAGCGGGAGAGTTTGTAACGGATCAAGTAAGTCATATTTAATTTGGATAAAAGATAGGAATAATATTATATGACAAATGAGAGAGAGAGACTGAGAAATGCATTAAGTCAGTATGTTCAGTCAAGGCGAGTATTGATATTTAATTATATATTATGTAAATATATTATTTAAATTTATATTATTTAAATTATATATTAGGTGTTGGAATTAATTCGTAGCGTTTTTTAATGAAAGAATGTTATTTATTTCACATGAGCATTAAAAAATACATTAATGAAAGTACTTCCCATCACTTGTAAAACGCTACGAATTAATTCCAACACCTAATATTATTTAAATTTACAGTTTATAATAAAAAATTAAATTATTTACAGTACATTAAAGAATATTGATATCAATAATATTGAATTACTTATCAATTTATAATTGACATTATTAAGAAACTCCAGTTTCAGTTTAGATTGTGTTTCAAGACTTCCAAATAACTGGTGCACAGTTCGTTTAAACTAGAAATTCAAAAAGTTTATACAGTATATTATTAGGTATCAAGATTTATCTTGACCGAATATGGAACGCTACATTCATTTTACGTTGAAAAAATAAGAACTTAATTAGTCTTAATTAATTATTACTATAATAATAGTTTTGGAAATTAGGGACTGTCTCGATCCGAAAATTTTGAGCCGGATCATAGTCCGAGGCTAAATCCAACTTTTTGTTTTAGTTCTTTTATAGTAATAATTATCAAAACGGTTTAAATTTTAATCCTTTTCTATCCTTTTTACTTTCGCTTTTTTACATACCTGTGACGGTCTCCATTATTACAGAGAGAACTGGAACCGACACTAAAATCGAAAGTTGAATAGCTTCGGACTTTATTCATAATCAGGCCAAAAATTTAATCCGGAACTTCAATCCGTGTTCCTGCCAGAAATACTTTTTATTAAAATGAGAGACACACACACACACACACACACACATACACACACACACACACATATACATACATATGGACATTAATATGTTTTCTTATATGTATGTACAATTATATTCAAGTGTAATGCAGTATATCGTATGATGTGTGATCTTAAATGGTACAAGTTGGAATCAAGAAAAGCGAGAAATTTTATTTTGTTAATAATACGAGCCAAACATCCTTTTCGTTTTACTGCAGGAAAGATTTTTCCATTAACAATGGTTACTTTTTGCAGCGTAAGATTATTTAGAATTCTCTCGTTAATAATTTTACTCCTTTATTATTTAATGAAATCTGTTTTACTTTTATATGCAACTTCTCTCTTTATTCTCTCATTTCTCTCCACATGCACGCACACATACACACATATAGTATACATCGTGTCAGGGTATCCTAGAATACTTGTTGCATGTAGTAAATAACTCCTCACACACTTAATAATCACGCGTGCATTTAGTAATAATGTGGGTGAATGCATGCTTATTCGACAATCATTAGCAATTAACTTTTTGTTATTTATTGCGAAAATTGCAAAATGGTATAGGACTTTTTCTTTTACAATTTAATCCACTTTATCTATCATGAGAGATGATGCAATTACAATCGGATACCCTGTATGTGCACTTATGACTTTTTAAATAAAAATTTCATTTAATTATTGTATCAATTTAATAAAATTAGCAAATATAAATGTTTATTTTAGTGAACATATTACATCATTAATTTTAATACATATATAATAAAATTCAAAGTATTGATTGATCTTGTACCTGTTTTAGACTTTAAAGGATAAAAATGAAGATCATGGAACTGATGACCTTGACATATGTTGCCAAGGTCATGACCTTGAATGATCTTGAAAACGTTTTAATCATTTTAAATCTTATTAAAAGGTACTCAATTCACAAGATAAGTTTCGAGAAGTACTTAGACCAATTTTAGTAAAATTAATAATTACGATATAATAAAACATAGTTAATATTTATGCCAAAACTTTTAATTAATATGTTAATCTTTTAATAGATACATGGATAATATGAAATTTATAATTTCAAAAAAACAAATTCATTCATTGTAATTTATTATATATTACTTTTTAAGAGCAAAACAGGATCCATTTCACATTTCACTTTTTAAAGCAAAACAAGGTTTATAATTGCATTGATTCACATGAGTTTTTGATTTTCATGCAAAATAAGGTCTACAAACTTACTATTTCATATCAATTTTGCGTGGAAAAAACATGCATGATCAGAGTAAATGTGGAACCTACACCTGTCCCACAATATTCCTAATCTAATTCAATCTAATTTCTAAATGACAAAAATTTCGTTTCATTGTCAGTCAGCATCATAATCTTGACAACATATATTAATGTCAATGTCATTTATAAGTGCTTCTCATTTTTACAGTTTTACTGATTGTACATGTAATAATAACATATGCTATTATTTGCATTTATGTATTAAACTTAAAAAAATATTTATATGTGCAAATTATAAAGTAATCATTGTTAGTCAATATTCTGACTTTTATGGTATATGTAGACATAAAAAGATTATTTCAAGATATTTTTTAGTTAATATTTGTTTACTGTTTTATTATTTGTCTAAACAAAAACTAACTTTTTAAAATAACTTTTTAGATACTAAAGACATCATGTGGTTATATATCGTTTTTACTGACAAAACGAGGATGAAGATCATACTGATATATTAATATTCGTAATTAATAAAAAAAAGTGTTTACAGCTAAATAATTATTAATGTTAGACAATAGTATTTAATTGTTATTACAGCAAAAATAAAATTCGTATTCACGATTCTTATAGCTCATTGTTTATTGTTAATTATATTGTTAATTATATTATTAAACCTTTTATAATGACATTATCAACTTTTTTGTAGAAATAATCAGGGAATAGAAATAACTAGTTACATTACCATTACAAGCTTAATACAAGTTACTTTTTTTTGTATCGGACTACTAACAGTGTTTTCTTTTGTAACGGTAGTTACATTTTTTTTCAATAATGAATTTTACACTTAATTTTTATATTTTAAACCTATTTATAAATAGTTTTTGCATATTCAATCTGCAGTTTTTAATCGGTATTCATAATTTGTTGTTATTTTTAAATTATTTGCTTTCCATCCATAGAAATAATTTGATGGAAATTAGACTGTTATTAAGTCATTTATATTTATATCACAAAAATAACGACGACTATATTTAACGAAAATTTTTTTTTAATAAACAAAAAACCGTTTTTTAAATGTTATCTAATAAAAATGCTGTTTTCTTATAGTCCGGATTACATATATAAAACGATTCATCAATAATATCTAATCCCTTAGAAAAGCTAAATATGTATAATCTGAATTAAAATCAAAATTATAAATAAAGAGTATACATAAATAATAAGTTAAAAAATAAGTTGGCTACTTGTTTTGGGTGAACAGACTTATAATTTGAGGGGAGTAACAACCCATTTGAACGCTTTTTTTTCTTTCGCTTTTTTCAAAAGATTTTTTTTTTCTTGTCAATTTAATATATATATATATATATATATATGTATATATACTTATACAAAGTGTCCCAAAAATGTCGGAACATCTGAATATCTCGAAAAATATAAGTTTTATGGAAAAGTATTTCAGGCAAAAGTTGTAGAGTTAAAAAAAATCTATTTACTAGATTGCGTCGCCAAGATCAGGTCAAGGTTACATCGATTTTTTAAAATAGCACACATTGTTTTTTGATTCCAAAATCTAATAGTCGATGTCGAGAGCTTCCCAAAACATTATAATAAAGTTATTTTTTATTCAGTACTTTTCGAGTTATGATGCTTGAAAGTTACAGTATCACATTAGCCGACATTAGCATTACCTAAGGTGTCTAACCGACGACTAAAACCTCTTGATGTTGTTCAGGATCATGTCTGGATAACATTTGTTAAGATCAAGGCCATTTGAGGTTGTATCTGTTATTTTCATTTTTGCACTAAGAATTCATTTTTACGTAAAAATGAAAATAAGATAATAAGATAAGTGCGCAAAGTGCATGTAGACAATGGAGCTGCAGGCAATAATATATGCAGACAATAATATATGTAGGCAAAAGTAACTCCATTTCTAAAATTTGTATTTGTGCGCAAAAGTGCTTGTAGGCACTCGAGCTGTAGATAATAATACATGTAGACAATAGTACACGTAGACAAAAGTTATTCCGTTTCTAAAATTTTTTTTGTGCGCAAAAGTGCATGTAGACAATCAAGCTGTAGGCAATAATTTTTGTGTGCAAACGAACTGTCGGCAAAAGTGATGTAGGCAAATGATACTGTAGGCAATCGATTTGTAGGCAAAATCAACCATCTCCAATAAACTTATATCATGCAATGGTATAATGCGAAGCAATATTTTTCTTCTTTTGTTCAAAACTTTTTCTGTCCCTTGCCAGACATAAACAATTTTTATGACCTGCTGTACGCTTATAAAGTTTTTTGCCTTACCAACAACTGTAATCAATTGGGGATAGCATTTTTAATATTTAATATAGCGTAACGAAGGTACCAGTGTCTTGCTCTTATATAGAAAGCATGCGCAATAATCGTTTTACATTACATAGTGGGAAGATCAGGACGATCTTTTTCAAGTTAGTCTTCAGCATGAACATTACGAACTCTTCAGATTATAGAGGTATGATTCCATATTATATGTAAGTATATATATTCCATTTTTATGACGCGTGTTCTATATATTTAATTATAATTTTATAGTATAAATCTCTATCATCGCATTATTGTTATCTCTCTTGTGTTACAATTAGTCTTTTTATAATTTATGTATTAATTTACAATTATTTTATCTAAATCGTTTATTTTGTAAAATTTAGATTTCGTATGGGCAGTTGAATTACATCGTTTAGGCTTGAAATTGATCGGTTTGTGGCCTTCAACCGACGAAATTTCTAAGAAAAAATTGGGATCTAACATTTGCGTGGGTTTCATTTTTACTGTAATATTCGTTTCTGGTGTACCGCTTGTATGGGCGCTTATACGAGTTTGGGGCGACATGGTACTTATGATAGATAATTTACGAATTACATTACCTCTTATAGTGGTTTTGTTTAAATTTATTATTATACGATGGAAACGAAAAGGTACGTGTCATAATATAATTTGATGAAACTATTTAACTGAATCTTATCTATTTCATTTTTATATTAAATTATTATTAATATAATTTATATAAAGCATAACAGATTATAACATTAAAGAAATAAGATATTACATGTGATTATTTCTCCTATCGTTTCTCCTTTCTTTTTTCTTTCTTTTCTTATCCGAAATAAAATATTAAATTCTTGATACTTTTTATTTCAGAAGATTAGCTATATTTATTTGTTAACTTCCCGAGTTTTGAACCAAATGTGTTTGGTTCAATAATTTGATAGTTAAAAAATAGTTATACTTAATTATAAATAATTTGATATTCCTGTATATTATTAATGTTGTCTTTTTTTATATATTTCCAAGTTCTTTTATCCATTATCAATATGATGGCGGAAGATTGGATATCATTAAAATTAAACACAGAAAGAGATGTGATGATAAAACGAGCGCGATCGGCTCGATTACTCATAATTTTTGGATTTGTTTTAATGTCATTTGCATTTATCATGTTAATTATTTTTCCTTGCTTTGATATACAAATAAGGCACATAACAAATCTTACTGATCGGAAAAAACCGCTACCACTGCAGACGTATTATTTCTACGATACAGATAAGAGTCCGCAATTTGAGTTGACATTTCTTGTTCAAGCCGTAACGATTTCTTTAGCAGGTATAATTTATACATCAGTAGATGCTTTTCTTGGGCTCGTGATCTTTCATATATGTGGTCAATTAGAGAATTTTAGACGCCGTTTAGTCAAATTAATTTTGTGCAAAAATTTCAACCGAGCTCTGAACAACAGCATAGTATATCACTTAAGACTCATCAGGTGTGAATTTTAACTATAAAAATAGAATGTGAAAATTATCAGGGAATGTGGAAATTATCAGCGTGTCTATATTAATTTTTAATATTAAATTGATAATATTTATTAGCATTTCTTGCAGGTTTATTAAAAATTAATTTTTTTAATTATTATTTTTATTTTTAATAAACAATAAATTTTACTAGTATAAGTATCTGTAAGCATCGTAACTTCTAGAAACTGTTAACATCATTTCTTAATTAGCAAATGGCTAAATATAAATTTAATAAACTATATTAAATCGCACGAATTTATGTTTGATCTTTAAATGTATAACTATGTTTAAGTATAGACTTTTTTTTAACTTTAAACTAACATTTTCGTTAAATTTTCTGTTTTGTATTTCTAGATTTGCTGATAACATTGAAAAAACATTTTCGTTAATGATGCTTGGATTAGTAATTTATTTTGGTATCGTATTTTGCCTATGCGGATTTTTACTTGTTAGTGTAAGTTTTGGTGAAACAAATATATTGAAAACGTTTTAATTCTTACACATTTTAATTTATGCAATGTAACTTACTTGAGTCTATGTGTCTAACGTTATTATATGTCTAACGTATGACAATTTTTTTTTATTAATTAGCGAGATATATTATCCAGGTAGTTACTGATCAAAATATAAATCATGCGAATGTTGCACAAGCATGTTATATGGCAATTGCTGCTCTTATCTTATTGACGCATACGTTTCTGTATTGTGGTGCCGGAGAGCTTATAATAGGGCAAGTAAGTTATACGTTTATACAGATACATACATAAATAAAAAAAAAATGTATATGAGAGTTATTCAAAAAGTAAGTTCCGGCTTAATCGTTACTTACAGAAAATTTTTAGTGCTTTTAAAAGTACACACCTTACACTATTTTTCTACAGAGTTGCCATCAAACATTGTATCCCTTTATCATAGAAAGTTGTTGCCTGCGAGGCAAACCACGTAGTAACAGCTTCTTTGAAGGTAAAATTCAGCCGTATTAATGTTCCTCATATTTAAGAAAGTTTGCATTTCGCAAACTACAAACTATAATACGTGTACACTAAATACAAACCAATAATGGAAAATTGTGTCAATTCCTTGCCAGTGAATTAACAAACGCATGCGCATCGCGACCGCGCTACTGCGGGAGTAAAATTTAAAAACGAAACTTACTTTCTGAATAACTCGTATATAAGAATGCGTATACATATAAGAATACATATAAGAATACATTATATTACATAAAAACATAATATAAATGTAACGTTGTAACATATGTATAGCAATTGTGTTACGCAAAATTTTTTATACTTCGTTATGCACCCAGAGAAAAGTTTCTTCGATTCAAAGAAATATTTCTTTGCTATACGATTAAAGAAAATATTTTTTTTATTTGAATGTTATTTCTAATATAATTTCTTTAAATCAAAATAAATTTTTAATAAATTTTTTTATTTAATTAAGAAAAATAATGTTTAAATAAAAGAAATGACATTCAAATCAAAGAAATTTTTTCTTTAACTGTATAGAAAAAAAATTTTTCTTTAAAATCAACGAAATTTTTTTCTAGATGTGCGATCAATAATTACAATATATAATTTTTGTATATTGTATTATAGTTGCATATATTTCTTTAAATGTGTCATTTTGCTAAGAAGCTATTGAAGATTTATTTGTTACATGTATTTTTGTATATATTTTTATGAAATAATATTTTTATAAGCATTAATTATATTTTAATAAAATAAAGTTTACTTATTTTATTAATTTAATGATTAACATTTTAATAATTTAAATTTTTTAAATTTTTCTTTAAATATCGATAAAAATAAAAAATTAATTAAAATAAAATTATTTAATTTATATTATTGCATTTATTACTATTTGTGATAACTTGTACTATAATGATGAACTTATATTTAAGTATATGTTACATATACATATTTTTTATTGTTAAGTGTACAGCTTTATATCGTGCTGTGTGTGATCTTGAATGGTATAAATTGGAATCAAGAAAAGCGAGAAGTCTTATTTTATTAATAATACGAGCCAATGAACCGTTTCACATCACTGCAGGAAAAATTGTTCCGTTAACGATGACTACATTTTGTAGTGTAAGATTATATAAATAATAATTTTTAGTTTACTTATGCTTTTTCATATTAAATATAATCTATTTATTTTTATATATTTAATATCTTCGATTAAGAATACTAATCAAAACGTAAATGTAAAAAAAAGTTATAATTACAAATATAGTAGAAAAATACAATTAAGATTATTTTTGGGTAAATATTTTTCTTTTTCTTCTACAGTACATCCAAATAATAATAAGCCTTATTTCAGCTTTTAAAAACGTCGGCTGGCTATATATCGTTTTTATTGGCAAAAGGAAGTTGAAAATAGTGTTGAAAATAATATATTTTTATTCTATAAATAGAAAAAATATTGTATTTTCAATAAAATATTTTGGAACTATAATGATTATATTTAGCTATTATTAGAAATAAAGTATGGTATGTTTATCATTTATTGCAAATTATATTCTTTTTATTTAGAAAAAATGCTTTTGGCTTGAATTATTCTTTAATATTCGCATATTTTGCGTGACTGAATGTAAAAAAAATTATTATTGACATTGTATTAATTATTTCCTAATAAAACAATAAAATAACTAGATTCTATATAATAGTATCCAATATGGATCTACTCGATATTTGTAGATAATTATACGGTAAATTCAACAGATAACATTTGTTCATTTTGTTATTGTCAGTAAAGCAAAATGTAAAATATGATTATAACGTAAAATTTCATAAGTAAGCATTAGCTTTCTATAACTATCAAGAGATGGTTATTTCTATGGTTCATATTATGTTGTAGTTCCGTATTTATATTTTACAACACTACATTTAATTAGTTTACAATAATAAAATATATTTTTACAATTTAATATTTGAAACGTATAACGATAATATAACAACGATTAGGTTTAAACTGTAATTGTGCTGTGTATCTACATACAATCCCATTAAAAGCACATTATTTCTCATTTAGAAATAAATGAGAAATAATGTGCTTTTAATGGGATTGTATGTAGATACACAGCACAATTACAGTTTTAGAAATAAATGAGAAATAATGTACGTATTAAAGTTTTCTAAAAACTTTCAAGACAAGCTCGACAGAAAGAATTATGACAGAATATTTTCCATCTCTCGTCGTAATAAACTAGACATAAACTAGACATGAACGCTTTTTATGACGAACACTTTTTTATTCGAATGTTTGTCAAGTTTTTTTATAAAACAAGTAACTGTGATCAATTGGGGATAGCATTCTTAATATTTAATGTTGCTTCGATGAGGCAACTAGGTTGTTGCACTTATGTAGCGAGCATGCGTAATAATCTTCTCGTTTAAGAAAACTTGAAGCGCAGTTTTCCTAATAGCCTTCACGGAAAACGAAGCGAAGTCTTCTGTATTAGTCTTCATGGATATCTCCGAACATAAAGGTTACAGAGGTTAGATTTTTATCACGTTTTTTACTTATCCTGAAATTATTTTTGTAAGAATTTAATTTTTGTTTTGCTAAATTAAGACAAAAATTATTATATGATAAAATTAATTTGTATTATTTGTACTATACTTCAATTCTCTATTATTATATCTTTTCACATATATATAATAAACCCTTTCAATGTTATTTATTTAGGATTTTGACTTATCTGTGTTTTGACATTTTTTAATCAATTTTCTCAAAGAAGGTTTATAGTTTCATTAATTTTTAACTCAATTTTTATACATATTAATTCACATTTTATTAAATATTTTAACTTTAATATTGAATTTCTATTAGATTTTGTGTGGGCAATTGAATTAAATCGATTCGGATTGGAACTGATCGGTTTATGGCCTAAAACAAATGAAGTAGTTAAAGATAAATACTACACATCCGATCTTCGCGTTGTTATTATTTTCATTATAATAACATTTATTTCTGGTATTCCACTCGTATGTTCTCTAGTACGAGTTCGTCGCAATATGCTACTTGTAACAGACAACTTACAAATTACATTACCTCTAATGATAGTTTCATTAAAACTTGTTATTATGCGATGGAAACGTTCAGGTTTGTCTAAAATTTAAATTATTTATGTAATTTTAAGTTTCTTTCTAATTATTTTGCACCTGATCTTTTACATAGTACAAGCTATCAAACAGAAATTATATGTGATTCAGAATTTATATGTGATTCCATTTTTTTTTCCAGTAATAGTACAATAAATGCCTAATAATAATATATCAATAATTTTGTTCTCACTTCATAAATTAGCAATTTAATATTATTGCAATAGTATATGCAGATAACAATCTTGTATTTCTAAGCTCTCTTACCCATCATAAAGATGATGGCGGAAGATTGGGTGACATTGAAGCTTGACACAGAGAGGAACGTGATGATGAAGCGAGCGCGGACTGCTCGGCTGATCGTAATTTGCGGATACGTATTGATGATACTAGCATTCACTGTGATCATCATTTTTCCTTGTTTTGGCGTACCATTCAGACGCTTAACAAATCTCACAGATCGGGATAAACCGTTACCGCTACAGACATATTATTTCTACGACACAGATAAGAGTCCGCAATTTGAACTCACGCTTGTCATTCAAGCTATAACAATTTTCTTAGCAGCTGTAACATATACATCAGTAGATGCTTTCCTTGGACTTACAATTCTTCACATCTGCGGCCAGTTAGAGAACTACAGAAGTCGATTGGTCAACTTGGTCTCATGTAAAGATTTTAATAATGCTTTACGAAGTAATGTGATCGCTCATCTACGACTGATTAGGTTTTTTACAGGTTTTAATTATAACTATAGAATAATGCACAAAATAAAATTTTACAAAACTTGCGGAAAAATTAAGTTCTGCACATTTATTTTATCTTGAAACAGTAGTACATTCTTGCACATAATAATAATGATACAAATGTCTTCATATATCACGCATTTTTAGCACATTTACATTGTTACGCCAGCGATGCAAACACACAGCACTCCCGCACTCGCGAAAGTAAAGACACGGGGACTTGTAGTTAAAAAACTTAATAAAACACAAAAGCACCCAGAAAACACTACGTAATTAAACAACAGTTAGAATACATATAAGCTCGTTAGAACGATAATACACGCAAGCAATTGTATTGATTGATCACAATTGGGCATAATATTGATCGGACTCAATCAGCTGACCAACAGGACGCAGGTACAAAATTGCATGATGTAATATTATATAATATAATTACATAAAATTTTTTATTAATTATTATCTTTTATATATATCAATTTTTTTATTTTTATAATTTTTAAATGTTTATTTTTTAATAATATACATATATGTATATATTAAATATGACCATTTGCATATATTTACAATGCAGATTTGCTAGTAAGATCGAAGATACATTCACATTAATGATGTTGGGATTAGTATTTTATTTTGGTATTGTATTTTGTCTGTACGGATTTCTGTTGCTTACTGTAAGTTCAAAAAAAGATGTATTACTTTAAATATTAAGATATTTAGATATATGTCTTATATATCTTTGTTTATAATGTATATTATATAACTGCGCCATATATTTTATTTATGATTGTGATCATAATCTTATTGTTTATTTAACTTAATTTGTTTTTATGACTTAAAATGTATATTTCATAGGTTGTTACCGACGATGAAACTAGTGGTATTCCTTTTTCACAAATATTATATGCAATTGTTGGTATTACTAGTCTTTTAACACATACTTTTCTCTACTGCGGGGCCGGAGAACTCATAACTGAGCAAGTAAGATACATATTTATATTTGTAAATAAATTAATTATTAATTTAATTTGCGTTATGGCCGATCATTAATCTATATTATACTAGTTTAAAAAGAATTTCTTAAAATTAAATGGCAACTATTTTTATATAATTTTATATAATTTTAAACATATGTTATAATTTTTTTATTATTTATTTTATGACGTATACTAATCTATAAAATCATGTAAGGTCATTTTCATAAATATGATAAAAAATTTAATTGATTTTTCTTATCTTCTTATAAAAGAAGACCTATTTATCTTTTTTACAATAAAGAATGTTTTATAACTTTTATAAACAAGAATTAAAATTAATTAATATTTATGAAAATAATCTGGTATAAAATAACACAGATATTTATGTCTTATATATTTTTTATCTACATGTTAAGTGCGAAGCAATATACCGTACTTTGAATGATCTCGAATGGTACAAACTAGAATCAAAAAAAGCGAGATGTCTTATTTTATTGATGACACGAGCCAGTGAACCTTTTCGTTTCACTGCAGGAAAGATTATTCCATTAACAATGACTACTTTTTGTAGCGTAAGATATTTTTATTGCATAAGTAGTTAATAGTCTTAAATAGACATAGAAAATAAATATGTCTTGCGTATGAAATCTTGTTGACGGATCTTCTAAATGAAAGCTTGCTTTTTCAGCTATTAAAAACATCGGCTAGCTATATATCGTTTTTGCTGGCAAACCGAGGTTAAAGCATGAAAATTATTAGCATATAATTTGTTTTAGATTGTGATAAAAAAAAAAATAAATGCAAAATATTTTTAATTAGATAATTATGATACAACTTATATTTAGAAGTAAAATGTTTAAAATGTTTATTTTTAAATGTACAGTCCAGTAAAATTCTTATTGTTTAAAATGTTTTATGTTATTTATTTCAATATTTATGTTTATACTCTTAATTATACATTATTAAAAATTTTTATGTAATAATTAATATTTATTCATATATAGATCTTGTGTTTAAATTAATTGTATAATATCTTTTTCTTATGATTTTATAAAAATAAAACTGAAAAAAACAATAAAAATAATAAGTTAAATATATTCTATTGAAAAAAACATCTTATGCTGGAAGTACTGCTGGCACCACAATCAATACGATAGCTATATATATATACTCAAGAAGTAAGATGAAAAAAAAGTAATAATATATATATTTTGAATTAAATAATTACAATATAAATTAATAATTATATTAATAATATCGTTTTAAGATAGAAATAAATTTATTATTTATATCTATCTTAAAATATTATGATATTATTGTCTTAAAAAGATATATTTGTTGATAAGTGAATAATTCACTTATCAAGAAACTTTTTCAATAGATATTCACAGTATACCTGTAGTTTACGGCACGCTAATTTTTTCCCTCACATCACACTTTTTGTTCGAAATTTTTCTGAATTTTTACGGCCTTTCTGCAAAAGCCATTAAAATGCAACTACTCATTACTCGCAACTACATATATATATCTCTAGTTACGAAGTGAACACGATTATCATACAACACGCGAGTATTATAAAATATGAAGAAACTTTTAGCGTATTATTTGACGTATTGGTGGTAGTACTTATTGTATACAACACATTATTTTTCTCTTTTTATTAGTGTAAACGTTTTTTCGTCTTTTCCGTTTTAGTCGAAGTTTTTTATGTTCTCTTTCCTCTACATGGATCTATTAAAAATTCAATGAATTCACGTGGCTGGCTACAAAGTGCTATGCGTGCGTAAAACATTATGAAGTTAGGGGAAGCTTGTATAACAGGCATATGTCTCAACGATCCTGTTATGATAAAATATGTCTCTCTTTTTATCGCTTCACAGTTATTGGCATTTTTTATGATCAGTTCTTATGACCGTAAAGTTCTTTTACGAACTAAAAAAGTGCTATCAACTGGAAATAGTATTTGTAATATTTAATGTATCTCTCGACAAAGTAATCATCTGTTATACTTATACATCATGAGCATGCGTGATGACCATTTTGAATTCTGGAGGTGCAAGAACCGAATTCTCTGCATTAATCTTCAATATGAACGTTACCAAACATTCAGATTACAAAGGTATCAAATATATTTATCATATATTTTAAATTGTAATAAAAATAACTTTTGTAAAAACTTTTGAATTATTAAAATATATTATTAATAAAACTAAAAATTGCTAAACATTAGTATCAGTTTTGTAAATATAAATATATTACACTCCGAAAAATTTTTTATCTTATGAAACCTTTTTTTATTTAACTTACATATGAATTTTTTTTTGTTTCAAATGTATATTTAGAGTTTAAAATTTTAATTACTGATTAATTTAACATTTGTGATAGAATTACGAAACTTTTCAATTTTTATAAATATAGCTAATTTCGGATACATACATACCAAAACTAAAAAAAAAATTAAATATTATTAAATTATTATATATCAGTTTTATAAATTCTTAAATTATTATTAAATTTTTTTTAATTTTCAAATATTTGTTATATTTGAACAACATAAAACAAATTCAATAAATTTTAATAAATTTATTAACATTGAAATATCGCTAGATTTTATATGGGCAATCGAACTAAATCGATTCGGTTTAGAACTAGTCGGTTTATGGCCTAAAATCAATGGAGCAGTTAAGAATACCTTCGTTTCGGATCTTCGTGTGGGCATAATTTTCTTTATAGTAACTTTTTTATCCATTATTCCTCTCTTATGCTCCCTTGTACGAGTTTGGGGTGACATGATACTTATAGTAGACAACCTCCAAGTTATGTTACCTTTACTGGTAGTCTCGTTGAAACTTGTTGTTCTACGGTGGAAACGTACAGGTACAGTTATGTCTAAAACTAATATACTTTAGCTTCATAACCGTAAATGTTTTATATATGAGTTTATGTTTTGAAGCTATTGTACTGCTCGTAAAGATGATGGCAGAAGATTGGATGGAATTAAAGATGGACGCAGAAAGAAACGTGATGATTAAACGAGCACAAACTGCGCGATTGATTATAATTTGTGGATTTTTTTTGATGATATTCGTATTCATTGTGCTAATTATTCTTCCTGCTTTCGGACTACACTTCAGATATATAACAAATCTTACGGATCAGGAAAGATTATTACCCTTTCAGGCATATTACTTTTATGATACAAATAAGAGTCCACAATTTGAGATCGCGCTTGTGATTCAAGCTGCGACGATGTTTCTAGGTGCAACGACTTATACCTCGGTAGATGCTTTTCTTGGACTCTTGATCCTTCACATCTGTGGTCAATTGGAGAACTTCAAACATCGATTGACCGTTTTGACATCGTGCAAGGATTTTGATAGCGCTCTGTGTAATAATGTACAAACTCATCTGCGGATAATAAGGTTTCTCTATGGTTTATAGTTGTCATAACATTAATAAATTTCAAAATTAAATGTAGTAAAGTTTTTGTAAAAGGACCCCGCACTAATCTTATGTAAAATGAATCATGATGCCCTGGAAAAACTGGATTTTCGAGATATTGAAAATCAAATGTTGGAATTTAGCCATATTTGATATCTAATTTATCTCGAAAACTGTCCATTTTTGGACCTTGTGCCCATGAGGATGTCATTTGATGAGGTTTGATGAGGACATCATGATTATAGTAAAATTTCAGTCAATTTGACTGGGATCCATTTTACATAAGATTAGTGCGGGGTTCTTTATCTTTGCATAATTTGATTAATTTTTAACTGTTGAATGTATATATATATATATATATATATAATATGTATATGTATAATATATGTGATACACATATTTTATATGTATACTCAGAACCAACATAAATAATCTGTAGATAAAAATTGAATGAAAGATAATATAAAACGTAAATAATATAAAACGACAAAAATGTGAAAATGTCAGTATTGTATAACTATAATAGGTATTATAATATTGAATGGCACTCCAGCAAACAAACTGACGTTATTTGTCGCCATTTGGACGTCAAAATATTGTTTTTAATGTCAAATAACTTGTTTATTGAGACATTAATCTACGTAATTATTAAACGCACACATGTGCAAGATGTAAATAAATAAGTATTAAATATTCTAGGAATGTATTCCCATCAATCAAAATAAGTTATTAAAATAAGCTTATATAAACATGGATGCAGAAACGCTTAGTTTTTGAGACAGGAAGACTTTTATTATTTAACAATATCAAACAATTAATAAAACAAGTAATAAACATTTTTCGAACATTAAACATAAAAAAAATACTTAGTTTTAGAATTATTAAAGGTTTTTCAATCTCTTTTATTTAGTTGATAATAATATATATATATATGTGCGGTTAAAATCTATGATGCCAGGCTATTAGTAAAAAACTATTTTGAACAATTTTTATAATATAGTAAGATGTTTCAATATTTTAAGGTAAAATTTCTCTTACTTCAAAAACTAATCCCTAAAATGCCAGGAACTGGCCATTTTCATGTCCTATCTTTCTCATTTTTGTTTACCAATTTTATACACGGCGCAATCAACTCTATATCTTTGATTTAACATAATCTATCTAAATGTGTTTACATTTATAGGTTTGCCAATAATATTGAAGATACATTCGCCTTATTGATGTTGGGACTAGTATTTTATTTTGGTATTGTATTTTGTCTATTCGGATTTTTATTTGTTACTGTAAGTGTGAATGAGAAGAGTGTATACAAAATATAAATTAATTATGTAATTAATTAAAAATAAATTTTAATTAGCAAGACATGTTATCCAGGTGATTACCGGGAACGAGATGGGTCACATGTCTCTTACAAGAGTATGCTTTATAGTGATTGGAATCTTTACATTAATGGCGCATACATTTCTCTATTGTGGTGCAGGGGAAATTATAGCAGAGCAAGTAAGTTGCAGTATTTCTATCTACTAAAACATATAAACTATAAATTAGCATTTTTTAACTTATCTTACATTGTAACAAATTTACATTTATGTATATGTATACATACTCTCTAAAACTTTTAGAGTAAATCTCATTCTTTGGAGTAAAATTCCAGTCCAAAGAATTTAGAGAGTAATATTATTACATGCCTCCGGTGGTCAAATTGAGAGGAACCTACAAGGAATGCGAGACATCCGGGTTCGAATTTTGGTTGAAATAATATTTTTTGCAATAAATTACTTACAATTTTTTAAGATGTTTGTTGCATCAAATTATTAACAGCTGTCTAGCTTATTTAAGATGCTTATTTGCAGCAATAATATTAAATTGCTTGTCAATTTAATTTGTGATATTACTATTCCAGCTTTGGTTTAGGGCTATGTTTTAAGAGCAATAAATAATTACATCTTGAATTGAAAATTCTATAAATTTACAAGAAATATTATTATGAAGAACTATCGAAGTGTTTTTTTTATTTATGTGAATTTATTAGAGAGTATATATGCATTATAACAAGCTTAGTAATTTCATATTAAACACTTAAGAAAAACATTTAAGAATGTTGTGCATATTCATATATATAGACCTATCCTATTCGGAAGTGTCTCATTTGATCATGTTGTGACTGATTACAGTTACTTAGTGATAGATACTTAGACTTTTCCACTGGATGGACACTATGAGTAGCTTGTGGTCAATCGTAACATGTTAAATGACTTCCACTCATCTAATTTCTTGCATCTCATAAATGTTATTGTTATAAATTTTAAGTAAAATTAGAATATATTTTTTCTTTTTTGTTTTTATTTCTTTAAACAGAAATAGAAAATTAATTAAAAACCATAATTAATGTTAATTTATATTTATGAAATGTATACTAAATATTTCAATTAGTTTCATCAAACATAATATAATATAAAAAATACTGATACATTTATATGTGCGTTTATATGTTTATGTGTATCAAGTGCGAAGCAGTATACAGTGCTATATGCAATCTTGAGTGGTATAAATTGGAACCGAGGAAGAAGAAATATCTTATTTTATTAATGATACGTGCTAATGAACCTTTTCGTATTACCGCGGGAAAGATATTTCCATTAACAATGACCACATTTTGCAGCGTAAGATTATTAATAATTTAAAATCTTATATCTCTTTGCACGCACAAAATTAAGACATTATTAATTAAAGAGATCCCCTAATCTGAAGATCAAACTCCGATGGAATCACTATTTTACCAATTCAATGAGACTTACACACATATGATTTATGTGACATCAATACATACTACTATACATCAACATCGCTCATATATGTATAAATTTTTGTAAAGGATTTTCATATCAAATTAGGTGCGTCTAACAATAAATTCAATTCTATAAGAATTCGATGTTATTTTTATGTAAGGAAGACTGGAACTTGTTATTGGTATAGTTCTTACAATTTCGCGGCTTAGACTTTTTAAACAATTATATTTATTATGATTAAAATGTATTAATGAGATAAATAGAATCTTTCTCTATATTTTATGTTAAGAATGATTCTGTACACTGGGTCAGAAAGTTTGCAACACTATTTTTTTCAATGGGTTTCGGAACTCAACCTTGCTTATAGAGCGGTTAAACGTAAATGGTTAGATCCATAAGTGAGAAATTTTTGCAGTAGGCAGACTACATTCCGAAACTCATCCAAAAAATATTGCAATTTTTCTGTAACTCACTGTACACTATAATTTCTTTGTAGTTGTGAAATACAAACACGTTATATTGTAGAAAATATTTTAATTCTTGATTTTCAGATAAAAAAATGATACATAAAGATCTACAAAAATTATTGCATTTAATCGATAAAACAGACAAACTTTAGAGGATCTCTTTAATACTACTATAAATGAATTCTTTCTTAGAAAGGGAAATCTTGATTTATTTTGACATATGTATTTGATACATTCTAAAAAATTAAAAATTTTAATTTAATGCTCTCTTACTTTATAGTATTTTTAAATAAAGGAATATTTTTCAGCTATTAAAAACATCGGCTGGCTACATATCATTTTTACTAGCAAAGCGCGAAATTGAATTATGAGAAACGCGCGCGCTATATTAGATATTTATTCGAAAAATAAGATAAGAAAAATATTAATATAATTTAATATTAAATTAATATCAAATTAAATAATTACAAATATTAATAAATAATTACATTAGTATCCTTTTGAAAATAAATTTGTTATTTACTGTAAATTGTACGGCAGTGTCTCACGCCATGTCTTAGCGCTGAAACACTACCGTATCTCCAGATAATGTGAATATTGACTGTAACATTTTTAGTATTAAATATTTAAACTTAGAACATGCAATTAAACTTATGACATATTGTTTTTTTAGTAATAAACAAATCAATAATTAAATAAACATATTTTATAATTATTATAATAATAAATAGAATCGTAAAATCGGCGCGTCTATAATAAAATATAATATGCAAATTCATTAGAAAAAAAGATATATATTTACGTTTATTAGTAATTATTATGATTTTATTAAAGAATAAATTATACAAAGATTTTTTTGTGTTAGCAAACCATCAATACAATAATATCTATTATAATTCTTTACGTACGATAATGTACATTTATTCACTTCTTATTCACTTCTATATTATTAAAACAATATGTTTTTTCAATAATTATTCACATTATTCACAGTATAATTTATGGGACACTGAATTTTTTCCATTGCACTTTTTATCTGAAGTTTTTCTGAACATCTATGGCCTTTCTGCAAAAATATTCAAACGCAACACCACATGTACATCTCTAGATACAAAGTGAACACGATCGTCGTATTACAAAGTATAGTTTGACGAGTTAGCGATAATAGATATCGTACACTAACACAGCACAATATACCTTCTTTCTTATTAGCGTGAACGTTACTTTTTGTGACTTTTTTATGAAGTTTCGGAACAATATGAAATAGCTGTTATCAACTGAACGTAGCATTTGTAATATTTAATGCATTCTTCGAAGAAGCAACCAGGTTGTTATCGTACATTCGTATCGTGGACATGCGTGATGATCATAGTTTGCACTAGTATGACAAGTGGGGTGTGTGTCTTCGCATTAGTCTTCGGCATGGACATTGCCAAACATTCCCAGTATAAAGGTATCAAATGTTTATGTATTTTTTGTTTAGAAGAAAGAGTGAGAGTTTTTTGAAAATTTTCAAATAGCACCCTGTATTCTATAACTCGTTATGCAGTCGTTATGAGTTAATAACGATTGCATAACGAGTTACAGAATATAGGGACAGGTATCTATATCAATATATTAAATTTTGGATTTTTTTATTTTAAGATGTCATAAATTTTGATAAACTTTTAATATATCTATATAATTTTAATATCTTGCTAGATTTTACATGGGCGATTAAATTAAATCGCTTGGGTTTAGAATTGCTTGGATTATGGCCGAAGAGCGATGAAATATCTAAGAATAATTTCTCTTCTGATCTCCGTGTGGTTATTATTTTCGTTATAGTGACATTTGTTTCTGGTGTACCTCTTGCCTGCTCCCTTATACGAGTTTGGGGAGACATGATACTTATGATAGATAATCTCCAAATTACTTTACCTTTACTGGTAGTCTCGTTGAAACTTGTTGTTCTACGGTGGAAACAAACAGGTGAAATTATCTATGTATACAAAAATATCAAGAAAGTTCATTTATTATATATATATATACAAAAGATAAAAAGATGAAAATTAAATATATTTAAAGGTATTTGTGCCTTACTAACTTTAAAATGAAAGTCGATACTATGATATTATGATGGTTCTACAAGTGATTATTTTGCTATTTTTCAAAGCACTTGTATCCATCATAAAAATGATGGCGGAAGACTGGATGGAATTGAAAACAAGAAAGGAAAGGGATATAATGATAAGTCGAGCACAGATTGCTAGAACGATTATCATCAGCGGATACATTCTAATGGTATTGGCGTTCATCGTGGTTATTATTCTTCCTTATTTTGGTTTACCGTTGAGGCATTTGACAAATCTTACGGATCCGGACAAGCCGCTGCCGCTGCAAACTTATTATTTTTACGATATAGATAAGAGCCCACAATTTGAATTAACATACATCATTCAAGCTATTACAATTTTCTTGGCCGCCGTAACTTACACTTCGGTAGATGCTTTTCTCGGACTCACTATTCTTCACTTGAGTGGTCAACTAGAAAACTTTAAAAGCCGTATAACTAATTTAATTTCATGCCAGAATTTTATCTATAATCTGAGTCACAACATAACAAATCATATGCGGCTTATCAGGTATATGCATATATACATTGTGTGTACACACGTAATTATTTTTATCAATTGTAATTATAATTATATAATTACAAATAAAATTCAAGATAACTTATAAAAAAAAAATTTAATAATTTGATAGTAAAATTAAATTAATATAGAATATTTTGCATTTTACGTTTATTTTCAAAAAAATTCTCAAAATTAATTACAAACATTCTGAAAAAAATAATAATTAAATAATTAGTAACTAAGCGTATCAAAATTACATGTACCTTTTTATCTGTAAATTGTAAGACAAATATTTTTCGCATTTTTCTTGAAATTCTTTTTATATCATATTTTATTTCTAATTTTACATTTATTATTATTATCATTATTAGTCTAAAAATAATTTTAAGAAATATTAAAATTGAAGATAAAATAATATATTTATTAAAATATACAATAAATATACAATAAATATTTTTTAAATATTTCTTAAAATAAAAACTATTATTTCAAGATTTTAAATAAATTTATTGTTTATAAAAATATAATAACAAATTTATTTAAAGTCGTACATATATATATATATATCATTAAAAATTTAATATAATAAAAATTTAATATAATACTTATCTTAATTATCGTTATTTTTTAAAAAAATGTGTATGTAAAAACTGTTTTTGTAACTAAAAATGAAACAGATTTCTTTTTGACAAGGCAATATAATAATTTTTTTTTTTTAGTCTTAGGCAGAATATAATAAGGTAATTTTTTAAAACATTTTTATAGATTTGCTGGTATTATTGAAAATATCTTTACCTTTATGACATTAGGCTTATTATTTTATTTTTGCATTTCATTTTGTCTTCATGGATTCTTGTTACTTGCTGTAAGTTAAAAATTAGAATTAACGTATTTTTATTTTTTTAAATTTGCAGAATTAGTTAATACTAAATCATATGTGTTGATATATCTATTAACTAATTTTTACTAATTAGAAAGATTTATTATTCAGGTGATTACTGAAGGAAGTAATTTTTCTGCCGCACGATTATGTTTTCCATTAATGGGTATCACTATCTTGTTTTCGCATGCTTTCATTTATTGTGGTGCTGGAGAGATTGTAACAATGCAAGTTAGTTACAAATTTAATTTCTCAAAATAATTTTTATAAATGTCTTGTAACACAATAGTATGCGTATACGCTTATAAATGCAATGATATAAATATACATGTACATATACAGGATGACATTAGGTGTATTATCATTCATAGATAGATAAAGCGAACTAAACTAAAAGGCCTTTATCATTTTGCAATTTTCACAATAATTACTGAGATATTAATTACTAAAGATCACCGAATAAGTCTGTATTTGCTCGGTTTACTTGTATCGTAAGTGTGCGACGAGATGCGTCCGCACAAATTGTGCTTGCGGTCGCCTGGCGCTAGTAGTAAACAATTAGTCTTGACGCATTTCGTGCCAGAAGATCACCACCGCGAGCATTGGATGGAATAGATGCGAATTCCATCCCGCTTGCAGCATCGTTAATAATAAGAAGAGGACATAAGAAGGCACATGCACTACTATGAGTAGTATCCATATCCATATATACTTGCGCGTACATTGCGTGCCCACCTATGTCTTTCTTCATACTATTAACCATGCTGCAAGTAGGCTAGAATTTTGCATCATTATTGGGCGAACATATCTCACTACATTGAATGGATACGCGTTTATTCGACGATCTTTAGTAATTAATATCTTGATTGATTGCGAAAATTGCAAAATTATACAGTACTTTTCAGCTCCCCTCTCTACTTATCTATTTATAAACAATGATATAATACACTTAATGTCACCCTGTATACATATACGTCATTATAGAGTCTTCGAGACCTATAAAATCTCTCGTGAGCAGGTAGAACGGACTAAATTAATTGTAAGTAAAAGAGTCCTCTATTATTTTGCAATTTTTAATAGTTAAGTTCTAAAAATCGATGAATAGCACGGCTAATTACAAGCGCATAACAAGATAGGATTAATCATTATCTTAAGTTGCTAGGCATGCGAGAAATTGTTTACCAATCAATCTTGGCAACGTACGAGCAGTGTGAGAAAATATCTCATCGCGCTAGGCGATCACATATCGCACTGCACGCTTGCATTTGGTAGTAGGCTGGATGAATACGCACATTTATTTTGTGATCTTTTAGAAATTAATAATATCTCATTAACTATCGTGAAAATTGATATGTAACTTTTTTATTCAGTTTAATTCGCTCTATTTGCTCACAAGAGATGATCCTGTCTGAGACACAGAGTCTGTATATATTCACGTGTAAACATATATAATAACATATATGTATACATATTATATATATATTCATATTTAGTGCGAAGAAGTATACTATGCTTTATGCAATCTTGAATGGTACAAATTAGAACCAAAAAAGGCAAGGAGTCTTATCTTATTAATGATACGAGCTAGCCAACCTTTCCATATTACTGCAGGAAAAATATTTCCACTTACGATGACCACATTTGGCAGTGTAAGATTATTAATAATTTACGTAAAAATAAATTACTTTTATTGTTAATCTAAAAAAATTAATTTTCACTATTTATATTACGTACATTTTTAACAGATATTAAAAACAGATATTATAACAAGCTAAGTTGTTTCATTTGCATTAAGAATTAGTATAGGTATTTCTAAATTAAAAGAGTACTTAATTACTTACATATAAATACAAAAGTAATATAATAAAATAATACATAAATAAATATTTCTATTTATTTCAACAAAAAGTAATATCTTTTTATTTTTTAATTGTATATTAATCAATTAAATTTGATAATTTTATTCTGTAATTTATATTGTCATATATATATAAAATATGTTACAGTTATTAAAAACATCGGCTGGTTATATATCATTTCTATTAGCAAGTCAAAGATAAAGAAGACATAAAAATTACAGTACGTTCATACTAGAAAATTATGAAAAGCGTAGATATAAAAATCATTTAAGAAATTACGTATAGATGTAATAGAGATTTAATATAAATAATAAGAAATAAAATATTTACATTATTTAATTCAATGTTTCTTATTTTATATATTAGGTGTTGGAATTAATTCGTAGCGTTTTACAAGTGATGGGAAGTACTTTCATTAATGTATTTTTTAATGCTCATGTGAAATAAATAACATTCTTTCATTAAAAAACGCTACGAATTAATTCCAACACCTAATAATACCTTAATATATTTTTTTAAAAAGAGTAAACATTTTTAATATAAACATTAAATACATATTATATATTTATTATATAATATTTAATATTTTGTTATTTATTAT